ATTTATTATTATTATTATTATTATTATTGTTGTTGTTGTTGTTATTATTATTATTATTATTATTATTATTAAAAATATAAATAAGAATACTATTTTTTGAACTTGTATTATTAATATTGTTAATAAAACATATAAATGCATTTAAATGAAAAAATAATGACATTGTTTAAGGGTGGAGGTGGAGGAGATGGTGATGCTTTTAGCAAATCATATGAATTTATGCTTGTATATTTTTTTACTTTGTATATGGTCATTTCACATTTATTATTATTGTTTTCAATTCAGAATATTAATACTTAACAATTTAATAGAAATTGCATATTTGTAAAATTGTTTATAAATAGTTTAAGGTAGAAGGATTTCTCAGTTTGTAAAATTGTTTAAGGTAAAATGATTACTTTCCAAATCCAATAGATCCACTACAAACATCGACATAGATAGGTAGCCCATATCAAAATTCAGAAGTATTAATTACAATATCCTATTACTTTTTATTAAACAAGATATTGTAATTAGTATTTTTGAATTTTGATATGGACGACCTATCTATGTAGATGTTTGTAGTGGATCTGTTGGATTTGGAAAGTAATCATTCTACCTAAAACAATTTTATATACAAACTGAGAAATCCTTCTACCTTAAACTATTTATAAACAATTTTACAAATATGCAATTTCTTTTAAATAGTTAAGTATTAATATTCTGAATTGAAAACAATAATAACAAATGTGAAATGACCATATACAAAGTAAAAATATACAACCAGAAATTCATATGATTTCAATGCTAAAAGCATCACCATCTCCTCCACCTCCACCCTTAAACAATGTCATTATTTTTCCATTTAAATGCATTTATATGTTTTATTAACAATATTAATAATACAATTTCAACAAATAGTATTCTTACTTATATTTTTAATGGAAAATCTCCAGAAAAATCCTAAAATTCTAATTCAATTTATGAAAAAGTCCCAAATTAAATTTTGTTTATAGAAAAGCACAGAATACCGGTTAAAACTTCGAAAAAACCCTTTTTGGCCGGTTTCGTAGATTTTGCCGGTATTCTGTCCTTTTTCGTTAGTTTGCTCACAATATTAGGACTTTTTTGAAAATTACCCAATAACCAAAATATTATGAATTTTCTGAAAATTACTATGGAATTAATGGATATTATTATTAACAAATCATTTATAAACATAACAAATATTTTTTATTATAAACAAAGGAATACATTTGTTTCAAATTTCTAGAAATAGAATGGTCGACTAGGTACTTCTCTATTGTTTGTTCACCACTTCAAACTCCCTATATTCCTCCTATGTATCCGTGTGGGTGTCATAGTGAGATGTACTATGTACGTTTCTTCAATTAAATACAAGAGTTGATAATATTTATGATTACACAATCAATAAATGTCTACTTGCTATTAGGCGTGACGCTATAGGATCACATGTTATTAGAAAATATCATTACACAATGATTCTTGAACATATATATCTTTCATTATGTTCTTTAACCTAAATACCACCTAACCTCCATACATTACTCGGTAACAACCATCAAATTACACACATAGTGAAAAGTAAACTTTGAATGACAATTTAAATAGATAATCACCCTTCACTTGTTTCCATATAAACTATAATTCATGATTAATTTTTCACATTTGATAGATGTGTGTTAGCATATGGTTGTTACCATGTGAGGTATAGATGTTGGGTGGTAGTTAGGTTAAACAACATAAGAGGAACACCAACATTAGAGGAACACTCACTGAGTACATCTCACCATCATACACACAATGATGCATATGAGGAACGTAGAGAGTTCGATGTGGTCAATAAGCAATAGAGGAGTACTTAGACCACAAATTTATTCGTAGAAATTAGCAACAAGTGTATTTCCTTTTTTATAATAAAAGTATTCGTTATGTTTATAAATGATTTGTTAATAATAATATCCATTAATTTCATGGTAATTTTCAGAAAAGTCCCAATATTGTGGTTATCAGGTAATTTCCGAAAAAGTCCCAAAATTTTGAGCAAACTAACGAAAAAGGACAGAATACTGGCTAAATCAGTGAAACCGGCCGAAAAGGGTTTTCGAAGTTTTAGCCGGTATTTTGTGCTTTTCTATAAACAAAATTTAGTTTGAGATTTTTTCATAAATTTGACTAAAATCTTAGGACTTTTCTGGAGATTTCCCTATTTTTAATAATAATAATAATAATAATAATAATAATAATAATAATAAATGTTTTGTTTGGAGAAAAGTCATAATATTTTTGTTTTACAGAAAAGTCCTAATATTTTTGGGTTACAAAAAAGTCCCAATATTTTGGGTTAGTTTACGAAATAATCCCAAATTAATTTGGTATCGGTTTCAACCGGTCAAAAAGGGTCAAACTGTAAATTTTTGCCGGTTTTCAGGACTTTTTCGTTCAAAAAAAAATCTTGGGACTAAAGTGTAACTTTTCCGTAAATATTATGACTTTTCTAACAATTTCCCTATATATAAAATAATATAGTCAAACTTATTCAAGACCAATTAAAATTTCAAAATATAATCTATTAATCCCTAATTATCAGGAGACGTACGAACAACCAAACCATTAAAGGCTGATCATGCAGACACACACAAACTTCCAATCATACATTGGGCTAGATTATTGATTAATTCGGCAATTTCTAATCGGCTAATTGTACAATTTGTGTACATTATTCACAATTAGTTTAATCTTCACACTCATAATCCTAATCAAAGGCTTTCACACCGTTAATCCTAATCAAAGATTTTTTTGACTTTATAGTCCTATTCGAAGGATGCTTGACTTTATAATCAATACTTCTAGGTAAGTTAAGTTTTTGGTTCTTCTTGACTTTGTGATAAATTATGAATGTTTTTTTTCCTTTTGGCTTCTTTTTATTTGTTTATTTTTTATTTAATCACATTAATATATTTCTTTTAGAGTTTTTGATTTAACCGCTTTGAACATATTAATGTTTTGTTTTATTTTAATGTTAATATCAATTATCAATATATGAAATTTTTAATGTTTTATATTTTTTATTGATTGTTTTTTATTTTGAATATGAATATGTGTTATCTCACTCAAGTATCAAAATTACACATTTTATTCTATTACTTATAAACTAAGTTACAAATATTGGCGGCCATGATTTTTTTGTACACTCTTTTTATTTTTTATGTCAATATACTTTCGACATTTATATTATTTTGAACATTATGGTTAACCAATATTAATCATTAACCAAAACCGTTAACCGACAAAAACCATTAACCATAATCAATATTAACCATACCCAATGACTACCAAAATGCATTAACCAATAATAATGGTTATAGTTAGGTTTTGACCAATAACCAAACCAAACCACAAACCAAACCACCTCATACACATCCCTAATAGGAATAGATAGATCATATACCTTTGCCATTCATTGGGCTAGCTCAAAATAAGTCCCAGATAAAACATACAGAGTTGGGCCATGATCCAACGAAAAAGGGTTAAGCACCATTTCACAGCCATATTGACTTACTGAGCATTGTTGCATGGCTGGCATGCATGACAAAACCCATTTTTAAAAAGGTTATTAATGTGAATGGTGTAACTATAGATGTCCATATAACTGTGCTTTGTATGGGTTAGAACTTAGAACGGCCTAAAATTAAATACAAGAAAAAGCACTCCTAAGAATGAGCCAAAAAAACCTGAACCGGTAATGCGTCTCAAATCAAGTGTTACGAGGTGTTGTATGTGTTCCATGTAAATAATATTTTAAGCGAATGAATACGTCCACCGATTGCGGCACAACTATTGTTGTGCACTGCAACATAAACCTGCAACTAAAATATTGATTCATTAGCCATCATGGAAGTTTGAACAGTTGGTAAATCTTAAAACATTATGAACAAAATTGAAAATTATGGTTCCATATTCACCCCACCAACCAATATAGATTTTTAAATTCCTTAATGCTCGTAAAATTTATAAAACTTGAGCACATGCACTTTTGTAATTGACTAATTCACTACTAGTTCTATTGTCCATGATTGTTTGATTTGTTCAATATGGTGAGGGTATTAAAAAGTTGTGCCGCTTGATTGCCATCGAACGATTTACTACTATTTAATGATGTTACTACTGACACTGAATTTGGTCTAAACCATGCCAACAACGGGTAGTTTGATCTGGTCCGTTGAACCAAGCTTGGAAATATACGGGAATGGGTCTCCTATAATCGATCCTATCCTAAACCGATCTTGGGTCATGAGGTGATCTAGTTTGTATAATATATATGTTGCAGTATGTGGTATAGTTACTTAGACCATCTCCAACCTTTAACATTATTTTTTTTACACTATTCTTATAATTATAGTGTAAACACTAAAGTCTTCCAATCCATTACACTATATTTAACATTAAAAAGAATATTTTAGGTATATTGTTCTTTATTCAACATTATATTTAGTGTTACACTAAAATGTAACACTAAAATCCAACACTATATATAGTATTAAGTATAGTGTAATTTATAGTGTAAAAGTAGTTTTTTAATGTAGATTTGGAGATGCCCTTATAGTTTTATATTATCACATGCTAAACTGCATGTCATTTTAGGCTAAGGGGTGTGGTGCCTTTTTTTTACCAATGGTAAAAAGGTGTCACGTATGCGCCACGTCAACTTTCACATTTGTTACAATTTTCATCTACGGACTAGGGTGTGGTAAATTGTTTACCTATGAGTTTTTTTTTTTTTTTTTTTTTTTTTTTTTTTTTTTTTAATTTCAATTAAAAAATAATAACCTTTTTAAAAACCATACTAAAATAAAAAATAACATAAAATTAAAAATTACATTTTAGAAATCCTAAAAATAAAAAGTAACATGAAATTAAAAATTACATTAAAAACCTAAAAAAAAACATGAAGTGAAAAAAAAAAAAAAAAAGCATAATATCGAAATTTCATTTGCGGTTTAGCTTATATTTTTTGTGAATCTACTGCTTAACCGCTTTAGCCCCTCTTGATCTTCGGGGTCGAGGTGTCTCACATATTGCATTAACAACGTATACTCGGTGAGTCGGACGGTTTCAGCCATATGCCTCTCCAAAGTTGAATTCAATTGTGCCAGTTGTATCATCATTTCTTCCGATCTAGCTGACAGTTCGGTCCCGACTGAAGAATTTGAAGATGTAGCTTTCCTTTTTCCTTTTGCTCGAGCTTTTGTTTTGTCCCTTCCCATTGGAGGAGGAGACGGGCGTATTTCTTTGATGTCGTCGTTATCATCATTAAGATTAACGCCTACGTAACCATCCGATGAGACTTGTTGCGAGCTCGAATATGAAGATGTCCGGCTTCTTTTTGGCGGATTAACAATTTCTTCATGTGTTGCAAGTTCCCTCCACCTAATTCTTCTTTTGACAACTTTCCACACATGAATAAATTTAAAAGGCTTTAACATATCATTTTGGAATGTTGCGTGTGTTTTTTTTCAACAAACTCGCTTCACTTTCTCCGCTAGCCCATTGCTTTTCAAAGTTTGTGTAAATTCCATTCCAATGTGTGACGACTTTGTTCATAAGATTCCATTTGGAGTTACATTGGTCGGAGGTCCGATAATCTGGATTTCGACCCATTCCCTTACAAAAGCGCTCCGTGATACGTAACAAAAACTGATCACGATTTTGACCCTTTCCCGTGCCACCATCTTCAGATATGTCGACCCATGCCTTTGCTAACTCAACTTCTTTTTGTGTCCATCTTCTGAGATCAACCAACTTCTTTTTGTGTCCATCTTCTGAGATCAACCTTTCCTTTTTTTTTTTTTTTTGAGGTTGTTGTTGTTGTTCTTCGTGTTCGGAATCAGAAAATAATTCGGTTGAAGGTGTGAATGGCGGTTGGGATGAAAATTGGGTTTGAGATGGTTGGGTTTGAGGTTGAGATTGGAAATGGAATTGTTGGGGCATTTGGAATTGTTAATAATAGTTAGGAACACCGTCTATTTGTGGCCGGTAAGGTGGTGGTGATGATGGATCGTAGCCGAAAACTGCGAAAGGGTTGTTAACATTTTGGTTTGGAGCATTTTGTTTGGAAGAGTTTGGATTGTTAGAAGACATTTTTAATGATAAATATTTGTTGAGAGCCGTTGCCGACCGTTTGGCAACGTTCCCTTCCCCAAAATGTCACAAAATTCAAAATTTCACCAACGGTAGAAGGCCACCGGCGGTAAAACCACCATCACGGCGCGGTGTTCACCGGCGGTGAAAGGGTGACAAGTCGGATACCGCCAGTGACACCTTCACCACACCATGTAGCCTTAGTTATGCATATTTGATCATTAGTATATGGTATGGGTTAACTTGATGAGAGCAAAGATGTGAGGTCGTTACTTATGTTATGATGTGCTTGTGGGTTGTGGGGAATTACTTTTGGAGGGCATTGACTGGCATAGACCAACGTATAAATAGGTATGTTTAAACATACATTCTAGTTATCCTTAAGTGTATATGTGGATTACATTACATGTACGATCTTGTGTATGGTTCCAATTGTTGATACTCCTCCCCCATGTTCATGTATCACGTGCAGAGGCATCCTCGATGTTGTGTAGCCATTGCAAAGTTTGGGAGAACATTAACAAACACATATAAGGGTCACAGAAACCATGTGACACTAATTGTGTTTTTGTATGGTCGAATGCGCAGAAACCTTGTGACACTAATTTTCCACCACGATCATGAATTTCATGAACACTTTAGTCACTTTGTTATCCATGACATGATATATTTATGCATGACATGATATATAGGATAGACACTGATATGTGATAGCATAACAAATACATATAACATTGTATAAAGTATAAGCTTTAAACATGCATAATATTTAATAAAGTCTGATTGTATCTCACCGAAAAGCTCCGAAATCATTTATTTATTGGCAACGATGAAGTTTTATCAATATTCTAAAGAATTTATTAGATGAAAAACTTATTAAAGCACAACCTCGATACAGGAGATGATAAACTTCTTCATATACATATATATTCAAATACACAAATTTCATTTGCTTAGTGGGAGTATCATCATTACATATCGCAATTAATTCCGAAAAAAACAGATAAACATTATAAGATCAAGAAGTATACCGATTCCAAAACCCAATCAAACCAACGCATCAGCACCAGCAACAATCTCCAAAATCTCTCCGGTGATCTTGGCCTGACGTCGCCGATTGTAGACCTGCGACAAGTTCTTCTTCAACTCCACAGCATTATCAGTCGCGTTCCCCATAGCAGTCATTCTAGCAGCAAGCTCACTCGCTAAAGACTCCTGTAAAGCCCTCAAGATCTGACTGTTTAGATACAATGGTAGCAAAGCATCAAGAATCTGAACTGGGTCCTGTTCGAATTGCAAGATCGGTGAGAAATCAATGGTTTCAGCCCTCACGACGTCTCGTTCAACGGTCAACTTTCCTTCTTTTGTGGTCAACCGGAAAAACTCGTCTTCAGCTGCGTCAACACAGACTCCATTGATGTCACAGATCTCACCTTTGGGCGATAATGGAAGTAATGTATGAATCACAGGGTCGGATTTGACCAAAGAGACGAATTTTGTGTACAACAGTTCGACTTTATCGACTTCTTCACTTACAAAAAGTGAGAAAACATCATCTGCAATCGCCTGAGCTTCTTTTGCAGTGGGGAGGTTGCTTCCGTCAAGAAACTTATCCACCGGAATGTATGGTCGCCGGGAAAAATAAGAGTTACCTTTTTTGCCAACACTGATGACTACGTATTCAAGTCCAAGAGTTTTGAGTTCACGAATTCTTGCTTCTGCTTTTTTTAGGATCATGTTGTTGAAACCACCGCAGAGACCACGGTCTCCGGTGACCACCACAAGCGCCACCTTCTTCACCGGTCGGACACTGGTAAGTGGGACATCAACGTCTTCTACTTGGAGCTGTTCGTTGATGCTGTAAAGAACTTCAACTAAAGTTTCTGAAAATGGTCTCGCATTCACGACAGCTTCTTGAGCTCTTCTCACTTTCGCAGCTGCAACAAGCTTCATTGCTTCAGTGATTTTCTGGGTGTTCTTCACTGATTCTATACGACCACGAAGCTCCTTCAGACTGCAATTGATCGAAGAAGAAGAAGGTCTGGAATTCGAAATTGATGGATTGGAATTTGGGATTTGAACTGGGCTGATGAACGATCTGAAGGAGAGGGCAGATGAATCGAGTGATGAGGGTTTTGAAGATACCCACATTGTTAGATTCGAGCAAGACATGATGTCCGATTAGGGTTTTCTTCCAGAATTCAACAATGGAGGTTGGGGCTGCGTAAAGAGTTTTTGTTTCTTGATAAAAATCTTATCTTTTGCTTGTATGGTGGATTGTGTATGTGTGGGAATTTTAGAATGCGGATGACGCTTTTGAGTGGAGGGAGATGATCAAGATCATGTATATGGATCAGGGGTTTTAAATAAACCCCAGTAAGTTTCATTATTTCTACTTTTGCCACCATACTTTTGTTTTCAACGAACTAAATTCAATGTACAACTTAATCTGCATCATGTACAAGTTCTTATAGGATATTTCCCGTTTGAGACTTTAAAGATTCATGTTTTCGCCACAAGTGTTCACTGAAGTTTTGAATTATGCAAGACAACATCTATTTCATAAAGTATAAGTCTCTAATGCAAGTTGACAACTTGATAGGATATACTTTTTTTGAAATCCAATATTCTTCCGACAATGGGAAGGTCCAACATACACTACATAATATACAGCTTACAATGCACAAGGTACAACACTACATATGCACATTTAAAAAAAGAATGTCATAACAAACATATAAACAAATGTAAGTTGTTACTTCTTGCATTTATATCTTAGCAAAAAAAAATCCCAAATAGCAGTGAAAAATGAATCATAATTCCATAAACAATAAAGAAAAAACTTCAACAAAAAAACAAACTAAAATTACCATTTTGTACATTTTAATCATATATACGCATTACATTAATACATCCATCATCACCACCTATGAAATCTCAAAACTTTCCTCACCAATCAATGGACCAACAATCTTATCATACGTTTGACCATCCGGTTTTACCCCTTTGACCATCAAATCATCATGCAATTCAATCACTTCCTCCCTAGAATAACAACCTACTTTACTCTTTTTAAAAGCATTTGTAACAAGAATTGTATAAGTTATAGAATTTGGAGCAACCCCATCCACCATCATCATCTCCATAATTTCCTTCCCTTCTTGAATCGATCCAATTTTGCAAAAAAAGTTCACAAGTATATTATACGTCACTTCATTCACTAAATTCCCTTCCTGCATTTGAAAAAACAAATTCAACGCCTCATTAATATTCCAATTCGCACAAAAACCATTTAACAAACTATTTAAAGTCACAACATCAAATAACCCGAGTTTCTTTAACTCATCCACCATAATCTTGGCTAAATCCACCGAAAGATTCTTGCATAAACCATCCACAATTGAATTATAGATCACTAAATTTGGTTTCTTGCCCTCTTTTATCATATCATCATAAACCCTAATTGCATTTGATATGCTCCCTTGTTTGCTAAATCCATCAATCATAGAACCATAAGTGACACTATCTAAAGAAAGTCCACGAGCAATCATATCATCAAGAACTTGTTTTACCTTCAATGTTGATTCATTCCCACTTCTAAGAAGATAATGAACAAGGGTGTTTTCCAAGAAAAGATCTTTATCAACAAGATTCTTTCCCACAAGCCATTTATGGTAATCCAGAGCTTCATTTAAGTACCCGTTTCTTGATAATCCGGTAACTAATATAGAATTAGTGAATTTATCGAATAAGATGTTGGTTTTTATCATGTATGATAAGAAAACTGAAGCTGTTGTGGTGTCACCTTCAAAGAAAAGCCAATGAATGATTGAATTGTAAACAACATTATTTGGAGCTATGCCTTTATCTACCATATGAGAACATAACCTAAACGCGTCTTTCTTACACCCTTTTCTCAGATACCCGTTGACTAAAGTTGCATATGTAATTAAATTCGGTTTGATGCCCATTTTCGTCATTTCATCCTTAAGGCTTTCTGCGGATTTCATATTTCCTAACTTGCTATACCCGTTAATGAGACAATTAAAAGTAATGGAATTAGGGTTAATGTACTCCATTGACATGATTCCCATCTTCCTATACAACTTTAACCCCAATTCAATATCACTTATTTTACACGCACCATTGATAATCATATTGAAAGTAACCACATTTGGATGTATTCCTACTTTTAACATTCGGTAGAATATACTAATCGCTTCATATAATCGCATTTCTTTACAAAGGGCATATACAACCAAATTATATGTATAAATGTTCTCTGTATAACCATATGAAATCATTTCGGTATACTTTTTCCAAAAAGAATTTAGCTCATTGGACTTTATAAGATGATTCAGGAAGTTGTTCCAAGCATGAACTGAAACATGAAAGCTCTTTTCCATTCTCAAGTTTATAATCACTTCATGTGCAGAATTCATGTCACCAAAAGAAGTACAAGCCCTAATTAATGTATCAAACACATGAGGGCATGAAATTTCGGGATTATAACTGTCCCATAAGCCTTCCAGAACATCTAAATGAGAATAACACATTGTTTGCAGCAAGTTATTCATAAAAACTAACGCATCATCGTATCTTCTGGACCTAATCATAACATGTATCAAGATACAAACAGATTCCAGTGATGGAGAAAAGCTCGTTTGCAGTCCAACCCTTTTGTAAAACCCTAAAACTAGCTCTGGTGACATTCGAAATTCTGAAACCACACGATTTACTAATGAGTTTGTGAGATCTGAAGACAATATTTGGTCTAGGAATTTCCATTTTCTTTGCCTTAAATTCACACAAATTGAATTAAAAGCAATATCTTCGGGGTTTGGGAGGTTGAAATGCTTACCAAAGTGAACGCTTCGTGCAGAAAGATTACTTCGTAGGAACTTCAGAAACATAGAACCGAGAAAGCCCAAATCAGGTTCGGATTAATGGGGAAGAAGGTGCGTTGTAAAAGCATCAAGTTTGGGAATTGATGAAAGAAAGAGATGATCAAAGCTTCGAAGACATAGCAATAGGGTTTTAGGGGCAAAACCCCTTGTCGAAGGTGTAACTTCTCCCCAGACTTTTTGAATCCTTCGCAATAAAAAAGAAACTCAATAGTAAGTTTTTTGTTTAAAGAAAATCAACGATTGTCGATTCTATTTCTAACTGATTTTGAATATCAATAGTAAGTTTTTCGTTTATTGGCCCATGAACTTGATTGGCGTTTATTGGCCCATGAACTTGAATCAACGGTTCTCATACGTAAACGCATAAAAAAAAAAGTTAATTTAAATTAGGGTTAATATAAGAAAATATTAATTGAACCTCCTATTGCTATCTATGTGTGAGTGTTTGTTTTTGGTCACTAGATAGAAATCTGAAAGCAGGAAAAATAGAAATTGTAGGTTTTATTTGAATAGAAATTTTAGACAAAAATAATTAACTTTTAAAGGTATAAAATTAGATAAAAACAAAAAATCTTAAAACACTACTTGAAAGCTTTTGGATAATGATCATTTTGTTAAAAATAAAAGTTAAAAGCTCCTATGACTGAATGAAATTTCTTTTACAAGTTTTTTTGTTAAAATTAAAAGCTAAAAGTTTTCAAAAGCTCCAAACCAAACACATATTTATATATGATTAAACCTCAATTTTATGTTTTTCTTGAAAAGAACAATGGCGGACCTTAGTGGAGCATTGGGGGTCCCGGGCCACTGCTCAATTTCCAGCACGTAGTGTAAATTTTTTTTTCTATTAGGTGCACCGACTTGAAGTACGAGAGACACCTCTACTAAAACAGTCTGCGTCCGCCACTAGAAAAGACCTTTTATTTTTTTCATTTTTTATTTGGCCAGTCTTGTCATATAGGGATTTTTCGAAAAAAATAAAAGTTGAAGGTTTTTCTTTCGAAAAAAATAAAACGAGTGAGTTTTTTTCATAAAGATAAAATAAAAATTAAGAGCTTTTTTTTGGGAAAAATTAAAAAATACAAGGTTTTTTACAAGGAAAAAAGTAAACTTAAAGTTTAATTCGAAAAAACTCAATAAAAGATCTTTTAGCCTTTATAATCTTATGTAAATTTATTATCGGGTAATTAATAATAATCATAGTTATGATATTTGTTACAAAATGATAAGGCAATGGAGACCATTTAAAAAATTGTTCGATACTATATTGATGTAATTTAACTATAAAAGCCGATATAACATATTTAATAGACGAGTGCCATTAAATTAAGGAAAAATGATTTAGGAGGGTAATGAACTGTTTTTTTTTTTTTTGTTTATATTTAGTTCCTTTTTTGTACACCATATACTATAACACCCGTTTTCCAAAAGTATCAGCTAAAGACTTAAAGAGATCTAAGATAGGGCATTTGGATAAAAACCCTATGCCACGACGTGGTGCATGGATGACCACGACATAACATGGTTAATGAATAGTGTAATTCTGGTGAGCATCACGACGTGGCAAAAGGGTGGCCACGACTTGGTGGTTGTTGCAGCCCAAGCCTATGATTTTTAGGGTTTCTCCCATATTTAAGGACCTTAACTTTAGGGTTAGGTCATTCTCTTCAGCCTCCACCCTCGTATCTCGAAACACTACCCCCCTTTGAGTGTTATTTAGGTGTTCTTGGTCATTTAAAGGCTCATTTTTCATGTCTTGGCGTGGAGCTTGAAGATCAAGTTGCTTGCAAAGTGTTTTAGTGAAGAGCTCAGTTATAAATCCAGGAAAGTGACTTCACTTCTGGACCTTTGTGAGTAAAAATCTTCCATGTTGACCTTTAGCTTGTTAGATCCTGTAGTTTGCTCATATTTGTCATTTTTGGTCATTTTGAGCTTGTGCTTTGGACTTGAGTGAGATCCAACACCTTTTGAGCTTATTATATCACCTCATTATCTTGTTGGACTTGGAAAGTTGGTATTTTAATATTTTCCTTGGAACCATGCATGTTTTGTGAAGGATTTATGCTAATTTGGAGTTAGGGTTGTAGATCTTGCCTTGGAGTGAAGTCCTAATGGATAAAGTTGAACTTTATCCGATAAGTCATCGAAAAGAATTAAATCTGAAATTTTGGGCTTTGATTTGAAGGGATTAAGCACTTAATGAAGGAAATGACATTCTGCCAGTGGCCACGACGTGGCCAAGGAATGACCACAACGTGGTGGAGTCCAGCCTCACGATTGTTTTGTCCAGACATGACCATGACATAGCCAAGGAGGGCCCACGATGTGGTGATGTCCTGCATGCCGACTGTTTTGTCTGGACATGCCCACAACATGGCCAAAAGGTCTCCGCATCATGGTGACTGTTGACTTAATTGATCGTTGACTGTTGACTTTTTTGACCTTTGACTGTTGGCTTTTGACCAAGTTTGACCTAGGGTCAAACTTGAAGGATTTAGGTTGTTGATTGAATAATTATCTTTATATGGTGAATAGTTGGTTCGCATGATTGATCAGTGCAAGGAGTGAGAGTATTGATGTGTGTTCCCCAGTTCTTCAGTTTAGGTGAGTCTTCTCACTATTCCACATACGACATTGTATATCCTTTGTATGATATGATAAATGTACTATTAGAGTACGAGTATGATAGTTATCTAGGGTAATTCCTTGTTATGTATGTGTAGTATGAGACACTTAGTGTCATGGTATGTTAGACTGGTAGGGTCTTGCATGTTGATTGTATGATACTGTTAGGTGTCATGATTAGATAAGGTGATGATATTATTGTTTGCTCATTAAGGGTTGTAAGTGGTTAAGTTAGATAGTCTAAGAAGTCATGGTATAAAGCCTTATTGCAATGTTCTTGTTTGATTGTTTGCTTTCGGGTGGATCATCTATTCGACTATCTATCTGATCTCTGACTACATATGACTTTATGTCTTGTATGGAAGACCAAGATTTGGCCGCTAGCACTTGTAGGTTTGGGTTGGTCCAGTTATGTAGGTTGGGTTGGACCTGTTATACTCTTGGTCTAGACCCGTATGTATGATATATGTATATGGATAGGAGATTTGGTTGTTTGGCGTTGGAGGCTAGAATTTACATGGATGCATTGTATATATGGTGAAATATATGGTATACTAGGGAACTCACTAAGCTTTATGCTTAGGATTAAATGTTTTGCAGGTTGTTCGCGAGAAGAGCTTGACGGGACTGTACACACACAACAAAGATATTCGTTTTCGTAGTTTTGCAATTTAACTCTGATAATTTATAGCTTTAACAAAACGAATGATACTCAATAATCGTTGATATAAAGTTGTTTAATGGTTTAATCTATTTAAAAAAAATGAAAAATCTCTTGTAATTTTTGGGACGTTACATATACCATCAAACTTGTTCACATATTACCCTTGTGACCTACTATTTTAGGTAAAACGGTAATATTTAAACAGTTTTAACAAATTGAATGATATATAGTGTACAAAAAGAAAATAACTAAATATAAACAAAAAAGGACCCCCCCCCCCCCAACACCTCCTCCACTGTCGCCACTATCACCGTCACGACCTCTATCATCGCCTCCGCCACTATCACTGCCTCCACCTTTGCCTTTATCACCGCCACTGCCTTCATCACCACCACATCTACCAACACTATCACCACCACCACCAACATTAGTGACAGAGGAAGAGGCGACGGTAGAGGTGGTAACATAGACGATGATAAAGGTGGTGGTGGCGATGGTTATTATGGCTATCGGCAGAGGTAGACATTGAGGTGGAGTTGGACGAGGTGGTGGGTGAGGTATTTGTGGTGGCTAGCTGGTAGCTGAAACGCTAACTAATAAATAAATATATATGTTAAATATGACTTGAGCATTTGGAGCATTCTCATGGAGCATTTAGAGCACTTAGAACTTAATGGAGCGCTTGGGGTTCATGGAGCTTATGACAAAGGAACAAATCATCTGAGAAGGGAATGAATCATCTGACAAAGGAACGGATCAAGTGCCAAAGGAACGGATAATCTAAAAGGGGGTTTGGAGCAACTTGGACCAACATGGGGCAACATGGGCCAACATGTTGAGCCAAGTGAGGTTGTTGAGCCAACATGGAGAAGTTGCATCACCCTTGGGAGATGTTTAACCAAGCATGAAAGATGTTGCGCCATCCTTGCATATGATGGGCCAACATCATACATGATGTGCCATTGTAACATTCGAGTCTGGTGGTATGTTTCTTTTTTAACCCTTAATATAAAATTTCTCTTATTTTAGTCCCTATCTCAGTACGCGGGGAGTACTCTATGAGTACACTGAGCGTACTGGCTCGTTGGTTGGATCGTGGATGCACCCACATACGTTGGGCGTATGTGGGAGTACGCAGGGCGTATGCAATTGTAACGCCCGTAGATCAGGGCTAGTCAATTTAGAGACGATAAGCATCAAAAATGACTTTTTGATGGAAGATTATTTAGAAGGATTAATCTTAACTAAGTTGTAGTATATGTTACAAGGATTCCGTACATATAAAGAACGCCGAAATCCGAATTATAACGAAGAAGTTATGACCTGTCGAAGTTTCGCGACAGAACCGGCACGACACAGCGCGACGTAAATAGTGAATTTACGATAGAGCGATATTTGGATTTAGCGATCTAAACGAAAGTTGTAGAGTTCGTTAAACCGAGATCGTGCATAAAAAGAACGTCCAAACCTGACTTCGTGTGAAGGAGTTATGATTTTTCTAAGTTTCAGCTTAGCAGTGTACAGCCCGAAGTTCGAAATTGAGATCGAGTGATATTTGGCCGAAACAATCTAAACAAGAATCGAAGATCTCATCGATAGTAGTCCAATGGTGAAAAGACAGACGAAAACGGACGTCAGATAAAGAAGTTATGAATTTCTAACGGAGTTTTCCTGTCCCGGCCTACTAAAAATAATAAAATAAAAATAAAGTCAAAAT